AAATCTGTATATATGGTTTATCTGAGAGTCCTGAGTCAAGCCAGTCACTGGGCTTGTCTACTAATGGCTACTAATGGAAACAAGATCCTGGACTAGATGAATACTGGCTCTGTCCCAGAATAACTATTCTTACATATTGTGCAAAGGAAATTAATTATACAAACTGGATAACAGAGCAATGATTTGCTTCATCACTTAAACTGGCTCTGATAGAATCCTGAGCTGCAGGGCCACTAGCATCTACCACTGCTTGCTGAAACTAAGATCCATTACAGAAAGCTATCCAGTTTTACCAGGCAGGCTAAACACACAGTGAGTGGTAGTATTGATCCCAGACAGATTGTTTTCTAAACAGAGCACTGTTCAGACCCAGAATCGTAGAAACGAATGGAGGAGGAAATAACTAAATTGTGCAGTGGATGATTGTTTGGCTCTTGCTTTCATTTTTACTCTTTTGTCACGTAAGATAAGTAATGTTGGAATTCGGTAATCAAACCTTTGCACGTCAGCACTGAAAGGAGCATAGTTGCCCAGTGAACTTCATTTCAGTACAGAATTCAACCTGAAGACACCTAGTAAATTAACTTTATAGCTAAAAAAAAGACCCTCCTGTTACACTGCTGGTTTTTTTCTGGGATACTAAAACTATAGAAAAACAGCAAGAGAGTGCCCCACATTAGAGCTGTAGAGAAACATGGGCTTGCTTTGAGCCTGGGACAAAAGGCTGAGATGAGAGACTCTCTTGGAACAAATGGGTCTGGATCTATTTCTGGAAGCCTGAAAAATATGGCTAGAAGAAAGCAGAACAACTGAGAGAAGAATTACAAGTATCTTGTCCCCTAAAGTGACTTCTGGACAACTGAATCGTAGCAGTCTTTGTCAAAGTCTTCTCCGGCCATTTTGTGCCTGAGAGTTTCCAGCACACTTTCATTTAAAACAGTTTATGCAACACTTTAAAGCCAAACTCTTTAGGCAGAAAATACTTCAATTCCCACAAAATGCAAAAATGCATACATCATTTCCCAGATTGATCTCTTCCACTGGAAAACGATAACCTAATGATATACTGTGTTTAACCTCTTGCTCACCAAAAATGATTTTGTCCTATATACCTCTCATATACTAAATGCTGACTTTCAGAGCAACCATATGAGCTGGATATAAGTATCATTTAGGTACTTATAATTCAGCAAAATACCTCAGTACTGACTGTGAAAAAAATGTAACAGTAAATGGTATCAAGCATTTTATAGAATTAATAGGAAAATGTTTGTGCATGGTGTGATAAACAGATCAAAGATCACCTGAAGGCCTACTAGACCTCATGGAGACATTTACTCACTATATACTTCACCTCTAAGACATCACACCAATGCAACCACCACCAGACTGGCTGCTACGAGTTAACATTACAAACATAGCTTGCTGCTAAAAAAACTGAAACACAGGAACGTGACAAAGCTGGTCCAAGACAAATGCACAGCAGTATTTCTAGTAGTTCTTGATATAAATCACCCAGCTGACAAAATGTCAGTTTTCACTGCTCCTGCACAGCTAGAAAGAACATATCTGCAGACAGCAAAAGCCAACAATACGCAGATTGGACTTTGAATAAGGAAAGAAGAGTTCAGTGAGTGCCTTCTATAACCACAGTACTTCAACAAGAGCTAAAAGTATTTCTAACAGCTGGTCATTGCTAAATAATTGAAAAATACTAATAAGCCTGCCTTTTTTTTAATACAACAGTGAAATGGCAACAGAAAGTGCAATAAATTTACTGTAATCAGTCATTTTGAATTCTAACATTGTATTAGCATTTCAGCTGATAGTGTTAGCTCAGTTTTTAAAACATTCTTCCTTTTACAATCTAGTGGAAAATGAGATTGGAAGAGCTGCTTCCAGGTTATCATCAGACCTAAAGACTTGATAACACAATGAAATATACCATAGGTTTCATATGTGACCAGAAAAAGGGCACTGGGTTTTTTATAGGCTAGGATGAGTTGTCCAGCCTGAATAAATGGCCATGTCAAGGCACAGCCCTCCCTACAACACCTTTCTCCGTGCAACACACCTGAAGATTATGAAGTGTTTTCAGCTATTTCAATTGCCTGTGCTCAAGAAACGAGGTCTGCTCAGCTGCAGCTTTTGTTAGGAATTATTACTTACGGTTTTAAGGATGGCCAAACGGGGGTGACAGTGAATGAATGCTGCTCACATCGGAGACCTCACTGATACCCCACACTCTCCGAGGGCGAATGGGCTGAGGTGCGTCCTGTGCCCCACCACAGCAACTGTTGCAACAACGAAATAACAAATTCTCCGTCCACTGGACACAGCAGGAAAATGGGAAAGGTTTCCCCCCCGAATGATGGGGAATGTTCTCTAAAACACCTCACTCCCCCATCTAACTCCAGCAACAAAACCCAAAACCAACCCGAATCAGCCATAGAGGGGGAGAGAGGGCTAGGAGAAAATAAAAAATAAGGCAGATTTCCAACATTTCGAACATCTTTACCTCAGACACGAGCTGATGCGCCTCACGCAACGCCCGCCCGGGCTGCGCGGGACCGTCGCACCGGTATCACCGCTACTTCACCAGCTCAGCCAACGGCTCACAAACATCCCCTGAACGTAGAGCAACCGGTGACGAACACCGACATCAGTCACCCAAAGCAACCGGTCCGTCATCGCCCGGCCCGCCGAGCGGGACGATGAATAACCCCCCACCCCCCTCCCGGCCTACCCGTACCTTCCCGCCGCCTCCCGGCACCGCCGCGGACCCGAGCTGCCTGCGGAGACAATGAGCCGCTTTCAGACGTGGCCGAGGAGACGGGGCAGCGGGAGGAGCTGATCCGCCCCGCACCCGGAGCATCCCCGGGCAGAGGCGCAGCCCTGGCAGCACCGCCCGCTCCAATGGGACCGGCTGGGCGGGGAGCCTCGGGACAGCGGCCGGGCGCTGAGGGTGGCAGCAGCCTTACCGGAGCCGTGCCACTGTAGCTCCCACAGGCCTGCGCCGTCACCCCTCAGGCCGCGTCCTGCGGGGAGAACCGGACCGTCATGTGCGTAGCCGTCCTTCCCCCGTCCCGTCCCCGACCCCCCAGGGGCTGCCTCCTTCGTTCAAGCATCACTCCATGAAAACCTCAGCACCCATGCCTCCTCCCTGCCCACATCACCGCTTTTATTTATGCACAGGGCCGTTAACCAGCACTCATCTATTTCCTGAACCAGACCTATCCACCATTTTTCCTTTCACATGCATTCACTGAGCTGTTGCTCTGAGCTGTTGTAACTTCATGTGGAAGGAGACAAGAGAGAAAAGCAAAATAGGGGGATGGAGTCTCCTGGGTTTACTGCTGTTTTCTGACGTTAGCCTCTCTCCTCTTCCAGCCGCTACCTTAAACAGCCTTCTGTTCAGCTTGAAATTCCGTTTTTGTGAGAGTACAACAGCTCAAACCCTTAAAATGGGCCTATGGTCTCCCTAGGGATTCTGTCCCTTGCTTTATGCCCACCCTAATGCTTGTGCAGACACATACCAAGCTCATTCAGGGAACTGACTTCTCTGAAAAAGTGAGTATATTTGGTAAATATGACCTTTACCATAATGAACTCATTATCAACCATAATGAACCGATAGCTCATGCACTCGCACACCATCACCACTGCAAGGAAGAAGAACTGGGACTACAGCAGAAGAGATTTATGTCAGCACAAGATGCTGGTGAAACAAGCACACGGGCCCTGTGTTCATCCTCTGCAGTGCTGAGAACACTGAAAAGCAGCAGACAGTTGCTTTTGTCAGTGCACTGGGATACAAAGCCAACTGCCAACAGTCCACGGCTGCCAGGTGTGGAGTTCGCAAAGCAAACTGGACATTTCTGGAATAGGTAGTTCTCTAAACTGCCAGGATGCTGAATCCCAGAGAACAATGGTCCAAAGGTCGGCTATTGCTTTACAAGTTGCTCTTTCACATTTCATAGCTGCACCATGTCTTGAGACTTAAAGAGAACCAAAGACACAAAAAAATTAACTAGCACCTAAAATTGTTTTACTCTTTCCTGCCATAACACAGCTTTGCTAGAACTACAAAACTGAAAACAGCGGAAATTTTGTTGGTTTCCATTTTAAGCTTGCCTAGAATAAAAAGTAAGCTTAGAAAGAGAAAATAAATAATCTTCCTTACCACCCACACTAAGAAAGAGGGACATATCAGCACTTACCAGGTGATAGTAATTTATTTAATTTTTATTTATTCTAAGTTATCATTTAAGTTCTGAAAGTAATTTTTCACTTGTTTTGGAACTCTGAAGCTTCTCTGGTAGGTTTCTGTTGTTGTTGTTAGTGTTCTTTAAACAAATATCAGGCTTCTCTTGTTTTACTTTTCCCAATTCACAATTAATGGTTTAGTGCTACAGTAATAATGCCAACAGCAGACAGTTGTGCAAACCTCGCAGACACTGTCACCGACAACCCAGTTTCTCACATCAACCTCAAATTTATCCATTATCCAACTTAATACCTAAATCGGTGAGCACATATAGCCACAGTTATGGAAGTATGGCTCTGATGGTAACTCATCCATACACTTCTTAACAGTCCTTGTATTTTTTCCTTTCATAGTGCATATAAACGCATGTACAAATAGCCCTTGGCAGAACTCTACCTCAATGGTGAACTAATTTACAAGACAGTAAAAACAGCTTATGCTGTTACTGTTGGCATGTTATTTTCAGTCTTCAAGGTTAAGCAAAATCAAGATCATGAAAAAGCAGCCTCATTGCTTTCTGCTGGTTTTTGAAGTGTGTCCCAGTTGCAAAAAAAACACCCAAAAAACTGGGTTCTTCTTCTGTCAAAGATACAAAACTTTTCAGTCCCAAAGCAGTGTTCCCAGAGAAAAAAATGAACGTGTATTTGAAAAAAGAAGCAAAAACAGAACAAAATTGGAACACACCTACAAAGTTTGATCTTCCTAAGTAAAAAACACACAAAGTCAGGGAATCTATTTTTTGAACTTCATTTCTTTCAAGTATTCTCAAGTACCTCCTCAGGACTGGTGCTGTTTGTAGGACAGTACTGGAGACACTGGCACAACTGGTGTTACTGAAGTTGTAGTCAACACATGATTCTGGAATATAAACATTTTAATCCTACCAAACACCCAAAGAAATATAAGGAGAATGCTGACATACTGGATCCAGGCAAATTTAATCACTTCCCAAAATCCTGGCTGATACTTAAAGGAAGTCAAGGAGTGTTCAAGAAGCAGCTTCTGCTACTACTACTGCAATAACTAAACAAAGGAACTTAAAGGTGGAAAGGCAAAACTTCTTGTTAATAAAACTTGTTAAGGCATCAGTTCATGTGGCAAATGCAAAGCCTTTTACCATAGTATGCAACAACAGTTGCAGAGAATGTCTACCCTAGAAGACATTTAGATCAATATTGTGCAAAGTGCCTAGCTGGTCCCTGACTCACCACAAAGTAGTTAGTAGTACCCAAGCAGGTAAACAAACCTCGTAAGAAGAGTGCTTCATACAAATTCTTTTAAACACAGGCTTGTTCTTATCAGACAAAATGAGTAAAAAGCGTAATGAACGAATAATTATTTTATAGGGGAAAAGAAAAAAACAGGTATGTCTGCACATGCAACAGGTTTGCCACATCCACTGCAGGGGTTATGATTTGGTGAGCTTACCTTGCATTCAGATTTCTGATTTGCTTTAAGTCACAGAATACAGTATCATGCTTTGCTAGTGGCATCTATGACACATTGGGACAGCAAATGCTGCAGGAGCAAAGCAGGACTTCCTAAGGATATTTACTGTGGATAGCTAAGACACTGCTGTAAAGGCCAGTACAGAAAGACTGGAAAGCAACGTGGGTTCCTAGCAAGGAAAGTCAAAACGTGGTTATGGAAGCAGAACCATCCGGAAGAATGGGCAAATAGGTATTCAGTTGGCTCCAGAACTATAGCATTTGCTTATCTAACACAGCAAGTCTAGAAGTAAACAGTTTTCTTTTGACGTATATGCAAAGTCCTAAATAATGCAACCCTGTTATGTCACAGTTTATGCAGTTTTCAAAGGATATAAGATAACTTCCACTGGGTAATGAATAGTGGCATTAATGGTAAATGGTGTATCTGTTGCTCTTCCAGCCATCCAGAGAGGGTTGGGATCTGAAAAGACTGTTGTAACTACAATGGGGAAAGGAAACATCTGGGTTAAGGAGCTTTTCAGTCTTAACATAGAGCTCAAATCCTCACAGAATAACTGCCAGCATGAGAACTACTGCTGCCCTGTAATTCAGAGCTGTACATTCAGGCTTACCATTTCTATCCCAATATGCTGCAATGATGTTTGTTAGATCATAGTCACTTGCAAAGGGACTTGTGCCATTGATCAGAGACACCTGTTACAACAAAGAGATATTTGCATTACTTGTTCACTCCTCAAGGAAGTGACTCTACTAAGTTTTGTTATGCTAAGTAACCATGCCCTTGAAGGAATGCACATAACTATCAGACTGAACATTTTGACAGAATAACCTGATCCACCTTTCAGCGTAACAAGAAAAAAGCAGTTCCAAAGTTCTGCAGTCCCCTTTGTGCAGGAGTATGAATAGGGTGTCACCTATGGCACTAGCAGGATAAAAAGAGGGGAGAATTGATGGAGAAGGAAAAAAGTTTCCTCACATTGTATCTGGTATCCAGTCCACAATAGTTAAGTAATTGCCTCTGCTTCAGTTTCAGGTCTCCATTCATATACAGCTGAGACCCTGGCACAGGAGAAAAATACTGAAGAAAAGCCATGCTCTGCATCACAAACGTTGACATCCTCTGAAATGGTGAACACAAGAGAAGATAATTGGGGGGGGGGGGAGGGAGGAGGGTAACACAACACACTTTTGAAATTCTTTGTATCTACAGATTTTCTGCATGGATTTTTTTTTCCTGACCCCCAGTTTCAGACTGTCACATTAGTCTAAACAAGGAAACACCAAATAAGATATTAATTACTTTTTGAGTTTTTCTGAAAGTGAGCTACCTTATTTGTGAGTTAACAAACTTTATAAACCAAACAGTTCCATGGGAACTTCATGGCAGTCCAGCAATCTGTGGCTAATGACAGAAGGATTCAACTTGCCATAACATGTGAAAAGCAGCAAGATGACTAAACACATTCTTTGGAGACACACTTTAAATATACTCAAGCAGTCAAAGTCAGCTAAGGACTCGCTGTGGAAGGAAGCAAGGACCAAACAAGTTCATTCGCCATTATCAACCACTCAATCTGAAGGAAAATTTTCTTATTTACTGTAAAACAAAGGTGCTGTGAATATCAGAACTGTCTGTGATATTAATCACTGACCTGAAACTCCAGCACAAATTTATTCCTGTCAGGCCTTTATTTTGGGCCTCATAGGTTTGAGAACACCCCACCCCAAAATTCAAAATGAAATCAAATCAAAACCAAGACCCACAAAACATATCAAAAGATGCAAGAGAGATAGACTAAAGATGACCCAGCAGAGGAGGAGAAAATTAAGTATTTCTTAGCAAAATAAAACTTTTAGATAGTAATTTCAAATATGGAAAGGGTCTTTCATGCTTTGCATAACCACTACTGGAATATTACATTGTGTCTAAACATTACAACAAATAAAACTAGAAACGCTCACATAAAGCTGGTAGGAAAAGAGTAGAATCAGCTGAACACCAACTACATGCTCTGTAGGTTGCAGTGGAAGTTCCAATCTAAAATGCAACTGATCCATTTTGCCATCTTGGTTTTTGTCTTCTTCTCTAGTCTAGAAGAACCAGTAAGATTTTTAGTTGGGTGTTTTTTAAATGGGAACTTCTACTAGAAAGAAAATCAAAGGTAAAACCCCAGAGGATCTCCACAACTGCAGCAGGCACACACTGAGGAAGCAGATAAACCACTGTTAGGAAAGCAACAAAAAGCTGCTTGACTTTATTAGACACAGGATTAGAGGCTGAGGTTTCGTCTGTTATACAATGTCTCATTTGCCCCCGAAGGGAGGGAAAGCATATCAGATTCTTGAAGGTCTCTTCTGCCCTGTGCCATTCTAACCACCTCCCCAGCACACTTACAAAGCACACATTAGTGCTGGATCTTCTGTCACATCCTGTGCAAGTGTGTGACTGCCAAGCTTTTGCCTCTTGCTCCTGCAGCCTGCCTCTTAATGGTCTCTGCATGACAACTCCTGGTTGTAAGCCAAAGCTTGACACACTTCTGTGCCACAAATGCCCAGCACTTCAGCTATCTGGATACATAACAGGACCATAACAGCGGAAATACGGAAAAATAACTGCCGCTGTTGACTCCCAGTAGGAACAACAGTTGCAGGGCAGAAGCCAGGCAGCTTAGAAAGCACATACCTGCTTTCAAAACCAGGGGCTACTGAGGAACCCCTGCAAACTTCAGATCATGATAAGCCATATGGAGGAGGGAGTAATTAATTTGAGTAAACTGATGTGCTCATGCAAACCACCAGTAGTGCTTAGGAACATGGTTTAGTGGTGGACTTTGTACTGCTAAGTTAATGGTTGGACTTGATGATCTTAAGGATGCTTTCCAACCAAAATGATTCTACAACATTGAGAGGAAGTAAAACTGGACTGGTTAATAAACACTTGTCCCGAGTGAATTTTGGTGTGAGGCATAAAGTGGCACACGAAGCTGCTGTTACTAGAAGGCAGCAGAGCAGGGTAGGCCTCCTGCTCGCAGCACCACCAGCACTAGCCCCGGCTCTGCTGCCCCGGCGCCTCTCTCCCGCCGCAGGCGGGCCTACCGACAGCAGCGGGACCCGCAGCCGCTCCCCCTGCAGCCGGTTGAACGCTGGAAACGTGCTCCACGCCAAGAAGCTGCCCGGGCCGGCCCCGGTGGTGGCCACGAGGAGCAGCTCGTACCGGAACCGCACTGTGGGCTGCTCCAGGTACGAGCTCTGCTTCAGCCAGAAACCTGCGGGGAGAGGAACCGCGAAGGCTCAGCGCCGGTCGGACCGGACCGGGCCGGGGCGGGTCGGGCCGGGCCGCTCCGCTCCGGGCCGCGCGCGGTGCGGTGGCGCTCACCGTGGCTCCGGTAGGCCACGAGCAGCGGCGGCACGTAGGTGAGCAGCGTGACAAGCAGCAGCGCCAGCGCGGCGGCGGAGCAGAGGCCGGCGCGGTACCGCGTGTGCAGCGCGGGGTGCGAGAACAGCTCCACGGCCGCCATCACACCGCGCCCTCACAGCGGCAACGGCGGGGCCCTGACTGGCGGGACGTCGCGCCTAACAGCAGCCCAGGCGCCTGGGGAAACGGGCACGCCAGCCAATCAGCGCGTTCTGCTGCAATCGGCAGCCAACGGTTGCGCTGGGCCCAAGCGCGTCCGGGTTCCGCGGCGACGGCGGAGCCTCGAGGGGCCTCGCACCGGGCAGGCAGCGGCGGCGGCAAGGCGGCGGCAAGGCGGCGGCAAGGCCATCACCCGCCGCATCCCCCTCCGCCACAGCCCCTCCCGCGGTCCCGCCGGAAGCGCTGCTCTCGGGCTGTTGCTAGGAGACCGGCGAGCCGGAAGTCCCGCCCGCCGAGCCGCGGTGTTGTTGTTGTGACAGGCATCGTGACAGCGCCAGCCCCGGCCCGAGCCCCGCCGGCCGTACACGGGCCCCGCCGCCGGCTCCGCGTCCCGCCGCCGCACCATGAAGTGGATGTTCAAGGAGGACCACGCGTTGGGTAAGGCTGGGCCGGGGCCGGGCGCTGCTCGCCGCTTCCAGTGTCGCCGCGTGCCCCGGTTGGCCCTGTTGGTCGGCCTGTCTGTGCGCGGACAGCCGCCCAGCCTAGCCGTGATGTCCGGGACGCCTCCGGAGCAGCCGGAGCCCCCTGGGCGGCCTGCGGGCTGCCGTCCCTGAGGCCTTGGCTCCCGGCTGGGGGCACGGCGGTGCCGTTGCCGTGCACTGACTAACGGCGAGTTTTGTCCACAGAGCACAGATGTGTCGAGTCGGCAAAAATCCGAGCCAAATACCCTGACCGTGTCCCGGTGAGTAACCGAGCCAGCTGCATCGGGCTGCTGGAGGCAAAGCTGGTCCCGCCCCACCGTCTCATTTGATCAGATCTTACTAAAGAAATTCATCTTGTATGTCCTCAGGTGTTCTAAAGAGGCCCCAAACACATCTGACTGACCCTAACCCTTCTTCTGAGCTAGTGCAAGAGTGCCTGACTTTCTAAACACTTTCCAGGCGTGTTCATGATTTTCAGTGTCCTGATTTCTTCAAATAACAATTATGTCCCAGCAAATACCTTCAGTGTCCTGAGGATTCATTCTGTGCCCAATTCCAAGAACACTAAATTCTGTAAACCTTCACAGTCATCTGTCCTGGCCCTGTGAAGAAGGTGATTTCTCCTCATGTAGCCATACGTGTACCCTGTTGCTGGAAGAGCCATTGCAAGTGGTGACCCCTCCTTTTTTGCATTAATACCTCCCTACCTGCTAAATAGTGAATGACCTTCCCTTTTCACACCACAATTCTTTTTTTGCTTTTATTGTGGTTCAGTGAAATGACCACACTTCAGATTAACCTGTTACAGTTAGCAACATGGCCATCTGCTTGGGAGTAAAATTTCCCACATCTAATCTGACCACAGGCCAGTTGGTGCCACCTCTGACTGAGCTTTCACTAAACAGCATTCATTAGGCAGTGCAGCCCAGAGAAGAATCTGTAATCCCATCGACTTTCTCTGCTGCTGAGCTGCCCCTAGTCACAGCACGTTCTCCAGCTGCAGTCTGGCAAGCTGAGCTGATCCTTGCTGTTCTCTGCTTGCCTAAGTACCCCATCATGTCCATTTCAGGAATATCCCTCATGACCTTAGGGGATAAAGAAACATTGAAACTCACAGTATGAATCAGAATTACGTGATGATGTATCAGGAATGGACAGCAAGGTGTGTGTAGATACAGAAATTAAATCTCAAATTGCAGTGTGATACTTTGGCTGGGCCAATACAATTCCAATTGAGCCATGTACCTTTCACAAAATAGTTACCAAGTATATTTTTGGCTTTTAATAGTCAGAAGTGTTTTTCAGACTTACTGTATGTTTCCTGCTTTCCAGGTTATAGCTTATATCCGGAGTGACAGATGTCAAAATTATTTCAGTTCTCAGATGCCATATCTGTGTACCTGGATTTAGAGACATTTCAGTGATTCAAACTTATTAAGATAGTATAAGAACAGCCCGACTCTGTCCTAGGGTGGACTGTATAGGAATAAAATGTGAGGTGAAAGAAATTCATACTTGCTAAGCACTGCAGTCTTAAATTTGCCTGAGTAATCCAGTGGTCTAAGGGTTAAAGGTATCTGTAAGTTTTACTAGAAGCAGTTCACCAACAGCCTTGAGTTTTATGACAGTTTCTGTGTTATGAAGCTGAAATGCCCAGTGTGTTATTGTAATCTTAAAAATACAAAAGTATCGGTTGTTAAGGCTTTGGTATGTCTGTTAGGCTGCTTTTGGACCACTTTACAGTTCCCTCATACTGAATTGCAGGGGACAGCTCCTGTTTCTGTAGGCAGATCTGAAGAAATTATAAGGAAAACCGTCTCCACATCATAGGATAGTGTATTCTGGATATTTGTTTGGGCATTACCTGGATGCTGTAACAATGGGGAACGGAGAGCTAAGGAATGGAGACACTGGAACCTCTTGTAAGCCTCGTGTACTACATTTTTCCTTCAAGAACTAGTGTGTATGGAGCAAAAAGCACTAGATGCTTTCCACAAGTAATAATTTTTCTTCCTCTACCTGTTGTTTTTTGTTTGGTTTGTTTGTGGCCATCTGTGCTTCCTGTAGTCAGTTTCTGATTTCCTAACATGAAGTAAGATACTCTAATGCCAGTTCAGCATAATACAGCGTAGAGAACAGCATCAGCGAGTCCTGCCTTGACAACAGAAACACACTGGAAGGAACAATATGCCTTAGAGTGCAGTTATATTCAGAATAACACCTGTGAAAATAAAAAAAAATCTGGTTTCCAGTGGTAAATCAGTATGTTACTGCAGACCTGTGTCCACAGACATCCTGAAATGATGATTAACACAGGCAGTCTTTTTTTCAGAGCTGGAAACAAAAGCCTGTTCATGCTGCAAACATCTTCTTACCCAGGCATCTCTGCTTCAGTCCCTTCCTGCTTTCTTCTGCCTGACACTGTAGTATAGGCAGAGAATATCTCAGTTCCTGAGGTGGCTGCGCAGCACAAGCAAAGCTTGTGGGTTGTTTTTTCTTTTCCTAATTATTTACTTAATTTTTTTCCTTAAAGCCTACGTACCCCATCTGGCTGGTCATTCATACAGAGCTAAAACCTACACCTTGTTGGTATGGTTTCACTGCTGTCCTGTAACTTCAGCCGATCAGCTGAAGCTGTAATTAATATGAGCTGCATACACTGCTGAATTAGCACTGTAAGTCTGGTACAGCAGAGGCACACACAGAGCATCACATCACATCACATCACATCATCTTTCTGGGCATTTGGTGGGCTCAGCTGGCACCCTTGCAGGTGAGCTGGTGTTCCAGCATGCTGCAGCCATGCTTCACTTCTCCCAAGGCATTGTTAAAGTTCTTGGTGGCTTGCTTTGGGCTGTCAGTAGTAACTGCTGGATTAGTTGCAGAAATGCAGAAAACATGGATGTCAAAAGCAGTACTGCAAAATGAACATGTGGTCTATGGCCAACTAGAACCTTGCATTATACCACAACTCACACAGTATCAGAGTTTGACTGTTCAGATACAACATGGCTTCTTCAGCTCTGCACCAATCTCCCTGAAGGATGCCTGTGCCTCTATTTAGCAAGGAGGTTTCTGATGTAAAAGTACTGGTGAATACTGTAATGCTTTAGAGGAAGCCTGAAAGCCATTCTGGCATCTGTGGTGTGTGCACAACAGATGAAATGCCAGACCTGATACTAGACTAGGCTGATGCTTCTCCCTCCCGTTTACCTAAATTCTGATTTTGTAGCTTCAGTGTTACTGAAATTTATTTCTAATATTTCTTCCTGTTCGGATTTTTTTCCTTTTGCTGTATGCTGCACGTGGACAGTTGGTTCTGTCATGTTAGGATCAGCTTGAGGCATTGTTTAAAGAAGACAGTTAAGTTGGAAGGGTGGTAGAGGTGTGTATATTAAACCTGTATTTCTTCGTATTGTGGCATTTTGTTTAGCCCCATGACAGTTTAAACAAGGAGAGGCCATGCTTCTTGCAAACTAGAACTGTGTGTAATGATACTGCAAGCAATGATGGTCATGTCCAGTGAGTAGCAGTTCGGGACTCTAGGTTTGGCTAGGTTGGAGAGAAGGAGGCTGAGGGGTCACCTCATTGTTCTCTGCAGCTTCCTGAGAAGGAGACGTGGAGATGGGGTGGGTGCTGGGATCCAGGGACAGGACACATGGGAATGGTTCAAAGCTGCAGCAGAGGACGTTCAGACTTGAGAAGGAAGTTCTTTAACATGAGGGTGGTCAAACGCTGGAACAGACTTCCTAGAGGTGGTTGATGCTCCAGGCCTGTCAGTGTTGAAGAGGCAGTTGGATAATGCTCTGAATAACATGCTTTAATTTTTGGTTGGCCCTGAATTGGTCAGGCTGTTGGACCAGATGACTGTTGTTGAACTAGTATGTTCTAGTCTGCTTTCTTTTTACATTGTGACAGTGACAAAGTGAGCAGCATCTGTACTAAGGGAATGCACTTCCTCAGATCACCTGCCATTGCTCAGGTACCAGTGCTGCAGTCTGGTTAAATTTTTCATGACTTCCTTTACAGGTGAATGGGGCAAGAAAGAACATGGTTAAATGATTTTTCAGTTTGTTACTATCGACTAGAGTAATTAAGAAGACAGAAGTCCTGGACTCCTTCCCTCGATCACCAGTTAAAGGGAAGTAGTGCAGAGAAGCTACTCTTAAATCTCAAGTTCTCAAGCTGCCATGCTTCAGACATCTCAGGAGATGCCAGTTCCTCTCCTGGCCCGACTTTTCGTTACAGAATACACTTTTTTTGGCTAGTGCATATGGCAAACTTTTAAAAACACATTGAGAATTACCCACATTTAAACACAGTAGGACATTAGTGTCCTGGTATGAATAAATCACAGAATCACAGAAGGGTTGTGGTGGGAATGGACCTCTGGAGGTTCATCCAGTCCAACCGCCTGCTCCAGCAGGGCCACCTACATCCAGCTGCCCAGAACAGTGTCTCTGGAGCATCTCCAAGCTGGGAGACCATCCCCTCTTGTCCTGTCACTGGGCATCACCGTA